CCCGACCTTGTACCTGTGCTCTCTTGCCTTTCACCTTTTTCCAAATTCTTTCATTATCCTTAGCTAACATGGTAGCCACTGACAGCTTGACTGGGGCCTCCTTAATTAAGTCATACCTTATATGCTCGTTTTGGAGTGCCTCCACATACAGGTCAGTCACATGGGCTTATATGGCAACATTTTCCCTCACTTCTTCAGGGAAAGCAAGGCCTGTTAATTTCTTGACCCTCTCTCTCAACTCTCTGGGAGATTCACCTTTCATTTCAGCTGATGTGGTTTGGAATTTCAGTTCCCCTTAACTTCCACACATAATTGTTTTTTTGACTCTGGAAAATTAATCACATGTCCAATTTTGAAGAGGTCCCTCCTCTGAGGAGTAGTGGTAGCAGAATATCAATCCACCCTAACTCCTTCCTTCTCATATTGGTGCCTCATACCAATACTGCCCAAGGTGTTTAGGCAATCCCTCTGTCTCCCTTGGTGTTCTACCTAGGCCTTTCACTTCTATGGTCACCTGACCAATTTGATCTCTAGATTGCATGGGCAAGCAGGTATGGTTTAGCTACAATTATTAATTTTAATAAACTATAATTTTCATTAACAAAATTCCTCAACTCCTTCTCAATTGGGTACTCACCAGCTGTTCCACTGACATCCGCTTCAGCAATTCATACCTTCCCTTCCCGACAAGTGATTAAAAAAAACAATTCTTTAACTATGCTTTTGTTTCCAGAACATCTTAATTTTTATCTTGACTGACTTACTGGGTTATGGCCAGCAGATAATTCCATAAACTGAATTTTAAAAACAAAAGTGTCTTCATTTCATAGTCAGTTGCCAACTTCAGTCATATTGTTTTTTGTAGGAAAAATCAGATATTTCTGTCTTTTCCCTCTGCCTTTATACAAAGAAGAAAACAATCCTTTGAATTTACTAAAATCTGGTCTTGACTCTTGGTATGTTTACCAATCTTTCAACCCTTATAATGCCACATCTCTCTTGGTATAGCTATCAAGCTATCCTTCTAACCCTTAATGTGTAACAAAATGTCCCTGTTTGATTCTTTGAAATAAAAAATATAAGAAGAGATATTTAAAAATTCTATTTGCTAAAAGAAAGCTGCTTTCACTAACTGGTGTAGAAAGAAATTTTGTGTTGACTGCCTTTTATTAATGACTCAAATTTTGAGATGTTTCCATTTACCAAAAGAAGTCCAAATTTTATCTGTATTTTCAGTAATACCCATCGCTAAAAGTTCTTTTTCTTTACAGAAAGATTTTACAGTTACACAATAAAACTATTTGAAATCAGTTACCCATATATATTTTCAACATGGGTAAGGCAAAATGATTGTCATTTATTTGTCAATGCCCATTATGCTGTATCATTGATTTACTGTTGATTTTTAAACTAAAATTATAAATTATCACAATAACAATTTTTGCAAATATATTTAAGGCATGGTACTAACAGCTTATGCTTTAATACATATTTTGAGTACAATTTTTCTTTCACCATTCTAACTAGACTTGATGTTATAGCATTTTTATTGCATAAATCATCTCATCCAGTTTTTATAAAAGTTTCATTAAAATATTAAGAAACAAATCTGTATAAGTTATTAAGTATAATTGGCAAAATGCTTAAAGATAATTGACAAATTTTCCAGTAAAAAATAAGGAAAGGAAGACAAAAAACAGGACAAATAATACTAAGCAAACAATATACACATATGAGAAAGGGATGCAGTCAATTGGTTACATCATTCTGACTTCAAGAAAGAACAAAAATATAGGGGATGGGACTGGGAATTGTTCATTTTTATTGGTTAGAAAGAAATCCCAGCATGCATCTCTAGGATTTGTTTATAAATTTAGTGTGGGTATGTTCTTAGCAGTTATTCCTACAGGGAACATAACATTTCAAAATCTATCTATTAAAATTTTTCCTATCTTAAAGTAAATGAATATTTCAGTTTTACATTGATTATGTTGATTGTATTAATACTTATTTATCTTTTTCTGTTCTGAATATAAGGTTTTTCTCTATTTCATATGGCTACACATAGAAGTGTCAATTAGAATACAAAACTAATGTTTATTTTGCTATGAATTTTGCTAAAAAAGATGAGATTAGAAAGAAGAGCAAAAGCTCTTGTCACATAAAAAATAAGTTTTTTTAAGCAACTAAGTTTTCTTTTGAAAAATCAGTTGGAAATAAAGAAGTATCTTCCCAGAAGTTTTATGGTAAATATAGTGATTTAAAAGGCCACTCGATTGGTGACAAGTATTGATCATTTCTTATAATTTCCATGAGTTTTATGCCAGCACCATTCATCAATAAGGGGAAAAAGTCAGGATAATTGTTGCTTAAAATTACAAGTTAAAGTATTTTCCTTATTCACATTATTTGAATTTAGGTTTTTAACTTTATTACAAATTCAACATTATACCTGCCAAAAGAAATCCTAGGATTATTTATATATATAGATCTGCATCTATGTTAAATCGGTGTCTCTGTGTATTCTTTCTAGAATTATTATTGCTCATGGGTGCTATATCTAGAACCAGACTGTTTTTTCCTAGCCTTCAACCTGGAATAAATGTGAAGTATTTGTTCTCTGATTGTCTTTAAGTTATAAAGGATACTTGGTCCTGGGGATTCTAACTCTGAAGCAGCACCTTTCTCATTACACTTAAGGGAAAGTGTTGGTGGATACTAATGCTACTATAGTAGTGGTCATAAGGACTGGTCAATTTCTGTCCTGACCCACATGTACATGCAAATGCACTCACATTAAACCAACCTTGTGTTACATGCTATGAATGTGGAGAGGTTGGTAAATGATGGATCAGAATGCCCTCTGCTCAATCTTTGAGCTGAGATTAAAGTGTAATATCTGTTCTCTCTTTCTCTTGAAGTTATATGGGAAGACTGGTTCTGGAAATGTCAACCCTGTAGCAGGATTTTGTACCAATGTTAATGTCAGAAAACTCTGATACCTGCATGACAATGTCAGTTTTTGATCTTGGCCTACATGTAACTTCTCTTACATCCTGTATATTTAATTTTTTTTTTTCATCAATAAGAATGTCACTGTCACACAAGTCTGTGTAATCAAATACCAGATACGTTCTTGAGAGAGAACATTTAGAAGAGACATTGATTTTAATACTATATTGGAACTGGTTTTTAAAGAAACTCTTTTTTGCCATTAAATCCTCTTATATTAGGGGTCAATATCTGGTTGATTCTCTGATAAAAACATGATTTTTTTTTTCTCATCTTATTGGAAAATTCAGTCTGAGATTTCATACTTGGACTATTGCCTATATTGTTAAACACTGGTTAAATTCTTTGTAAGAAAATGAAAAATATATTCATTGCTGCCTGCATTTTTGTAAGATGGTGTTATTTATGTATTTGACATTAAGTATCACAGTATTGTATGGAGTTAGGCTCAGTTCGAATACAGGTAAGTTTAAGATGTCTGAATAAATATTAGCTGGAAAGATATATCAATTTTATATAAAAGACTATAGATATTTTTTGAGACATTATTGGGAGAAAATGGCTGGCATGGCCTTTGATATCATCATTTGATTCTTGCAGGCATGAATTCTTATTTTGATTGCTTTTAGCAAACTGCTTAATACACTGTATTCTTAGCCCTTTCCTGGATGTACAGTACACTTCAGGGAATTTTGAATCCTTTATTTTGTCCCCAAAAAGGATATTAGTTTTATCCCTATATTTCTGTAATATCCTCAATTGTTCAAGATTTCTGACTTTTATAATTGTCATGTTTCTAATTGTTTTGTCAACATTTTAGTATTTCTTCACTACTTGTCCCAGCATCCTGGGTGTGACGATAAACTACATCCACATCCTGGGTAAGATGATAAACTACGTCCAGCAGCAAGGCCTCTGATCAGGAGGTTTTGAGGAGCATGGAAACACCTCTTAACTGCTGATGTTTCCAGGTCCAACCTCACCGCGGGTGGTAGCACCTGTTAGGGTCCCAGCTATGGGCAAATAGTTAACTCCTAAACTGGGGTAAAAACACTATGAAAATGTAAAAATAGTTTTTAATACCAGAAATACTTTGTAAAAAATTATTACCAGCAATAAATTTTTGAAGAAAAAAAAAAACTATTACCAGCAATACATCTTTGAAAAAAATATTACCAATAATGTTTTTAAGAAATAAATATTACTTAGCAATACATTTTTAAAAAAGATTATTACCAGCAATACATTTCTGAAGGAAAAATATTGCCAGAAATAGATTTTTGACAAAATATTACCAGTAATAAAAATTTTGTCAGCATTAAATAGCCCATGGAGGTTGATATGCCGTAAAACAAACCAAACTACTTGTCCCAGAGACTGAACTCCCAATTAACAATTTTATCCACCTGCATATATCTTATGGACTTATACATAGCTGAATATGGGAAATGCATCTGATGTATATTGCTGCTTATAAGATGCATTTTTTTCTCATAAAATATCTTCTAAAGCCACCCTGCATCATATAAATCAAAGGTCAGTGATGAGACTTTACATTTCTTGTAATTATTACATTGAAAACGGTTACCACAACTTTAGTACTTCTCGATCTGTGATGAATTGGTCATGATTAGTCAGGTGTTCATGCTGAAATATGCTATCCAGGGGGCAGATTTAGGGATAATGGGAAGGGCTATGAAGTACAAGGAAAAAACTTTTTCCCAATTTCTTCCTTCATAATTTCGTGGGTGCATCTAATACACTGGAGTGCCTTATAAGCAGCAAAATATAGTATTTACCATTCATCTCAATTGTAGGCTTATTAACTGACTCATGAACAAATAATATGTGTATAATAATGAAGTCTATTGTTATGCCACACATTTTGACACCAATTACTTTATCTGATGATGATGATGTTGTATAATGATGTTTTTTCTTTTTCTTTTAACTTTATAGCAATCCATCTGAGTGGATGGGAAATAGATATGCCTGCAAAATCTAAGCACGTGGTTCAAGCAACTGTGAGACCTTCCTTCCAGGCTTCCTACCGATTTGTAATTTCTTATCAACTAGTGTTGGATCAAGGTAAAAAATAAATCTGAATTTCTCTTTTTCATAATGTATTTTTGATCTTGAGACATCAACAAACATTTAAATCTGTTTCTTTGAATGTAGATATTTGCTTGTGTTTTTTCTAATCATTTCACCCCAAGCAAGGTAATAAAGCCACGAGGACACAAGGGATTACTAAGTGTTAGAGAATATGAAAAAAAAACTACTATTGAGGTGAGAAAACAGTAAAAGAACAAGAATTAAGAAGAGAGAAGATAACAATTGACTGATCAAAGTTGACTAAGAAGCAAGAAGCTAGAAGAGAATTTCATAAACAAGAAGTACAATAGAAAAACTGCTAGATTACAACTTAAAGTTACATCTAGCCATTTCAACTGTAAAATGATGTACAAAGTATAGGTATCATAGTGGAGAATTCATCAGAAAAATTACCATGAAAATATTTATATAAAAGTCACAGGTATGCTACATTATGTATTGAGGCTGAGATGGCAAGTCAGGACCAATAACATTGCAGATTCTTCTTTAAATTTTATCAAGAATCTCTAAATATATATCAAGAGCACCAGACCAGATGTGGCAGCAATATTCAAAGCAAGGAGGAATGGAAGACTTATAAATATGTAAAACTGATTCTGTCAAGAAAAAATTGTCTAACATTACATAGTGAACCAACTTTCTTAGCTGCAGACTTTGTGATTGATTCATTATATTCTTTCAATTTCATGTCAGCTGAAAAAATTAGTCTGAGAAGGTGCAATGAGTTACTACCCTGGAGGTTAGCATCAGCCATTCTGATAGAAAGGAAAAACGGTTCTCTCAAATGATTAAAAGAGAGCAGTTTCATTTTTGAGGTGTTAACAAGCCATTACTTGTCACATTTAACAACTAATTGTAGGTCATTTTTGAGATCAGCTGCCAATTTGACCTTATTGAACTGATCAGACTTATTATTAAGACAGGAGCTTAATAAGCTTCCTATCAAACATGAATGAATGCTCTCTGCACTCCTCAAATTTCAGTGTACCATCACCTCTTCCTTTCATGTCACTTCAAGATGTATCTGAGCATAGTTATCCACATAATCCTTTTCTCTTAGGAACTATAAAATGTGAAATATCACAATTCTTCTTAGGAAATAAGGATTGGTTTCCTGTTTCCTTCTGTATGAGAGAACCTAGTCTCAACTGCTGTTTAATCTTTTAGTATTCAATATACACAAACCTGCCCCATAAATATTGACTCTAAAATTCTTAGTGTTTGTGCTCAAAGTCTTACAATTTGCATGACTTTCTATGTTATTTGCATTGATGTTGTCATATATTATGGAAGATTACAGTGGGTTGAATACTGACAGCCAATATTTATGGGACATGTTTGAGTATGTTGAATGATAAAGGGTTAAGCTGGATAATAGAAATGATAGAAAAATATTTCTTATATGTCTATATTTCTGAGATGGTTACACTATTTATAGCTTTTGAACTGTTGTCCTCATCTTTGTTACCATATTCACAGCATTTCAGTCCTTGTATGCTCCGGCCTTCTTCACGCAATATATGGTTGGAATTTGGACCAAACTCTTTATCTATTTCATGGGGTAGATTGTTCTAATAATAATATTCCTATTTGAAAGCTGTGTATTATATTTTACATAATGTATATTTATCTCAAGAAAATTTCCATTTGCTTCTTTTTTTTTTAAATATCTGAACATCAGAAAATGTTAATTAAATTGAGAAAGAGAACAGAAGAAAAGTCTTTTTCAATTTCAAGAAAATTAATATTTTTCATCGGTATTGTAAAATTTGCAGCTGTAAACAATTTGATTAGATTCTTCTTTGTTTAATACTCATGGACAGGCAGGTTCTGTTATTAAATGCCAGTGGATATAACAATGTCTATCCATGTTCATGTGGGGGTTCATTTTGTTGAAAAACAAAAAGAAAAATAAAGTCATTATAACTCAAGATTGACTACATGCCAATTTCTAAACAACCTTATAATGATAAAAACGTCTGCAGACAAACAAGCTTCATATTTGAAATTTCACATTTTAATGAGGCTAAGAAAACATACTCTGAATACACTGATATAAAATCAAAACATTCCCTGATGTCTGTGGTAACTACTAATGTGCTTGAAAGTATTTGAAGTTTATCAAAGTAAATAAAAAATCTCATAAATTTCTTTTTTGGATAGAAAGACCAGTTTAACAATCTGAGATTGGTACATATCATTGAAATATTATGATCAGTTATGGGCTAGTTATATTTTTTATTTTTTTTTTATGCATTTCATCCCAAGCAAAGCAAGATGCCACTAGTACACAGAGGGTTACAAAGTGGGAGCGAGAGTAAAGAGGTGTGATGGAGGAAAGGATGAAGAGAAGGGCAGGGGATAGTTCAGGGCATCTGGAGATGTCGATTGACATTACATTTGAATAGTTGGAGATTATAGCTATCAGGGAAACAAGTAATAGGAAGGGAATTCCACAGATGGGAGGTGCGAGACATGAAGCTGTTGGAGTAGAAGAGACGGCCACATTTAACTGTTTCAACAGTGAAAGGGTGGGACCGTGTTGCCAACCTAGTAGCATGCTTAAATTCATGCAGTCTGGAGTAGTTACCGTGAAAGTATTTGTAGAAAAGACAGATGGAGGTGATGGCATGTCTGTAAGAGAGCGACTGAAGTCGAGATGCCAGATCAGAACCATATTGCTTATCTGTCTCTAGATCTTGTCGAGGACATTAGGTGAACAGTTGGTCATATATGGCAGCAGTATTCCATGCAAGGGTGAATAGTTGATTTATAGATTTAAAGGATGGACTCAGGTGAGAGAAACTTTTTGGTCAGTAAATGTAGCACTACTCAGTATTAACATCAGGGTCAGAAATCCTTGGTCACAGCACTAGATAGGTGCAGTATCCTAGCCACTGCTTCTAAGGAACTTCTTCAACATGCTTAATTTTTCAGAACTTCCTTGTTTTATTTCCCACATTTATTTCCAGTACAGATGAAATGCAGTGAAGAAAATGCCTTTTTCATGATTGGGTATGGCTGCAAGTCAAGTGGAGGTTTAAAATCAGTGTTTTCCTTCTCTTAGATGAACTACCCTCCCGGGCTGATGTATTTTATCTACTTGAAGTGTATAGATACACACATAAATACATATAGATTTAACACTTAAACTCAAACAAAAGCAATTGCAGTTTGCTGGCCACGGCCACTGAGTAGAAGGGGAAGTCATCTCATGTTTACTTCTAGAGGTGTCTTTTCATGAAAGTTGACTTTCCCAGTTGACTATGGCTCGGGACTCAGCGTTGGACATTAGAAATCTACAGATGGAAATGCAGGATCGAACAGTGTGAAAAGGGATTGTTAATGGACTTCCAACCAACCATAGAGAACTCAAAAGGTCGAGTGAATTTGAGAAGTTTATTTTCCTGAAGAACTGTTTTCAGAGACAGATATTTTAAAAAATTCAGCTAACAGTAATGTTTATGCAGTTTAAGCTTAATATTACCATCTGATTTTTATTATATAGAATATTTCTGAATCAAAATAGAGTTCTGGAATCCCTTCCAAAATTTGATTATTTATTCCTTAGCTTATGACCAGCAATTCCACAACATTTCATTAAAATTTCTTTAGACTCTTTGGAAATATTTTGTGAACAGACATTGGTGAAGTCAAAACCTTTAGGCAACATCCCTAGCTGAAGTAATTAACTCCCAATTCCAATAACTGGAATTTTTAAAAAGAATGACTGGACTTTTGCTTTAACAACTGAATATGAAATATATTTAGGCAAGAATTCAATATTTATTCAAAATTTTAGATATTAAAGACAAAATTAATCAACTGGGAAGGATTTTTTAATGATATATCCTTTCAGAATATAGGTGTTGATTGCTCTCCACAGATTTTGTTTTTTATTCTCTGTTACTTGACATAACTTCTTAGGAAAATTAGTGTAGTGGTTTCCTGTTTTCTTCTACATGGTCAGCAATATATTTTTGGAAAAAAGAAAAAGAAAAATATATATTACCAGCTATAAATCTTTTGAAAAAGAGAAAAATATTACCAGCAATACATATTTGAAAGAAAATTATTACCAGAAATGGAATTTTTGAAGGAAAAATATTACCAGAAATAGATTTAAAAAAAAAATATTACCAACAATAAAAATGTTGTTGGCATTAAATAACCCATTGAGGTTGATATGCCATAAAACCAACCCAAACCAAACCAAATCTTCTACATGGTTTTGAATTCAAAGTTTTCTTTCTCCTACACTGGCTACTATACAGTACTAGGCTATTCTGCTGTTTAGCTAAAGGAAGAAGAGATGAATTCTTGCCTTTCCCAAAGGGTGTTTGTGTGAAAGTGAATGCACTAGACTCAGCTAGAATTTGAACTCAACTGACTGATTCCATTTTCCATGCCAATAACCATTTTTTTACTCAATTCATACGAAAATAATATTGTTTCTACTCCAACTATGAACAACAAATATTGTGCTGAAAGATACTGAGAAAGAGTGAATGGTCAATTTTGTAAGAGTTGATCTTCCATTGAATGTAGAATTTCCTTTAGCTCAGGTGTGAAGAGCAGCTGGAACAGTTAGCCTGGCTTCTCTGATATATAAACTGTTATTTTTGAATCATACTGTTTGTTCCATCCAGTAGACTGATTTCCTGAGTAAATTATTGTAAAAAGCAACTAAAAATCAAGATGAATGGAGACTGCTAATAAAAACTAATAGTAACCAAAAAACAGAATTTCAGCCTAGAAAGATCACAGACAGTGAAGTTGATGAGACTCTGTGATTTATGCCATAAATGCAGGTAAATGGATAATTCATGACATGTAATTAAATCAGGTGCTGCCAAAAACTTACTATGTCCTTATCTTCACACATTAGGTTTCTTTAATCTTAGTCTCAGTGACTTGATGTATTATTTTTTTTTTTATCCTGTTTGTCAAAGCTGAAGAAAAATCTCACTGTA